CATGTTTGAGCTGAGTTGAGGGATCAGACACTCTACAAGTATTTACTGAGTGCCAATGATGTACTAGTTACAGTGCATACAGGGATGAACAAAATTCATGTGCTTGTTACTCTTTGGGGAACTGACCACCTAGAACAGTGTTCTCTGATCTTTCTGACCTTGTCACCCATTTTACATCATGACCTACTAATGTGTATGTATATATGTATGTTTGTATACATACAGGTAAACAGTGACACATATGACTGAGTTTCATCATACTTTTACACTCAGATGTTTTCCTTTCTAATCCAGTCATATTTTTTAAAATGCTGGCTACAACCACCTAAATTAATTTTTGATACACTAATATGTCACAATCCCCTATGTTAAAGGCCTCAACTAATCCAACGTGAACGCACAAAGTGTAAGGCCCCTCAACAAAACATTTTTCCCTGAAAAAAAATTAAGTGAACAGTCTACAGCTAAGATGTTCTATTCTGGTGAAATGTAACCAAAGTTATTAAAACCTCATGGTATTTCGATGATTCTCTTGTTTATCCTTGGACAAAGAGAATGGCCAAACTTGGTGCCAAACTGCCTCCAAACCAGGATACATCAAGCAATCCACTCAACACCTTTCATTCCTGCTAGTCCTGGGCACCCTACATTGTCAAGTAAACACTTGAATAGAACAGCTGTATCACTTAGTTAAAGTCTGCAGTACAACTTCTCCACAGAACAAAAGACAATAAAGCTTCATTAATGCTGACCTCGTCTACTTGGAATTTGGCATAAAAAGTTTAAACAATTTTTACCCACATTTACATTGCCAGTCTAGAAGAAAAAGATTGATGAGCAAATTAAGAGCAAAAAGACAACAGTAAGAAAAATGTTCACTTGCCCTGGCCAATGCGGCTCAGTTGGTGTGTTGCCCCATACACGAAAAGGTCATGGGTTCTACTCCTGGTCAGGGCACATACCCAGGTTATGGGTTCTATTCCCAGCCAGGTGTGTATGAGAAGGCAACTAATCAATAGTTCTCTCTCACACTGATGTTTCTCCTCTCTCTCTCTCTCTCTCTCTCTCTAAAGTAATGAAAAATGTCCTCGGGTGAGGATAAAAAAAGAAGAAAAAAAGAAAGAAAAATGCTGACCTTATTTAAGAGAACAAATTCACCTAGCACCGTGGAGCACATAGCACAATCATACCAGCGTAATAAATTCTCATTACAAATCATTTTTATCTATTTGTTAAAGAATATCTGGAGGGACTTTTATTTGGCAAAACAGTCAAACTTGTTCAAAGTGCTATTTGCACTTTAATGAAACTGACTTCACTTTAAAATAGGCTTTGATTCACAACAGCATATTCAACATTTTAATGAGTACCTGAAGTTATTCTACGTTAGTAAGGTTTACAATATTAGACACCTTATAAATACTGGTCTGACAAGCACAAACCTCAGATTTTTCCATGTAAAGTGGAATGTTCTAGTATTCTGACTCCAAAAGTTAGAAACAGTTTTACTTACTTATACTCAAAATAAATGTTATACAGAACAAATACTATGTATTGCTTTATATTCTTAATTATGACCTCCATTAAGTAAATCCTAGAGTTGCCTATTTAAATGTCCATTTAAGAAATTGAATCTTAATTTCTTAGTTTTTGGTGGCTCTCATGAAGATTCCACCTTCTCATAACTTCAAACACTTGAGAATTTTTTTAAAATTCTATAGCTCCTGAATTTATTTTAAAGAAACAAGCATTTCCTCCAAAATGCCCTACTTACTAAATGAAAGTGTTGCTATTACAGTTCTCACAATATTCTATATGATTAAAAGGGAATGGGACGGAGTGAAAGGGAAGCAGAGAGGGAGAAAAGAAGGGTGCGGAGGATGGTGAGGCAGGAAGTGGGTAGAGAGAGGGGATAAACACCAGATGGTCTTTTACCCAGAGGAGTATTTTGCACAGGCACAGAACAATCAAGGTCTGATTACTCTAAACTTATCCACGTTAACTGACTGCGAAGATGACATAAATTAAAAAGGAATGAATCTATGAAAGTGCAGTTCTTTGAAAACCAAGATGGACATCATCCAGGAGTGACCGCTGCAGGGCCTGACCTATTTTTCAACAGCAGTTGTCATCCATTGTCTTCTGAACACGTGGTCTCCTTGGTGACTAAACCATATTTCAATGTCAAAAAGATGAGATTTTTGTTTCCCAAACGCAGCTTACCCATAAGAACTACCAAAGGAACTTGTTAAATATGTGGCTTCCCAGTTCTACCCCAGACCTATACAACCTGAACTCTAGAGAAGAATCTGAATTTTCTGGTGGCAAATTCAGGCTGCTGGCCTTTTGCCTTTCTGCCAGGCAGCACACTGGCAGCACCTGAACCAATGGAGCCATATGGCCACTCGAATACCACTCTGATAAAGGATTGATGGCTTGAAAAATAAAGTTTGGACAAGCCTACTGGAAATTCACTTCAAAAGCATAGGACTAAATTCCAATAAGGTAAAAAAGGGGGCAGATGTGGTAACAGGAGCCATGAAAAATGTTTGTATGGGCTCAAATATTCAACCAATAAGCATCATAAATCTAGAAAGTAAAACACAACACAAACCCATGGTACATCGTCTCTCTAGCCCAGTCTGGGGAGTATCTGTATATTCCAAATCTTCCTATCTCCATGCCATTTAAAATTTAATACCCCTCTAAAACATGGAACGAGTCCACAAATACATTTATATTCTTTGTTCTCTTGAATATAATACTTTGGAAGGAAGAAGTCTTAAAATAAAGACCCTCAACTCTTTCTTCTACAACATTCAGAGGTAGACAGGCACATCAGATGAAAAGGCAAATCATTACCTCCTAAAGTTCCTCCTGCCATTTTCATTTTTCTTTGTACTCAGTACAAATTACAGTCAAACAAACTTCATCTCTGAATCAAAGAGCTTAGAAAATAATATAGAAATATATGCAACAGGGATGTTAGCCAAGAACTGACTCAGCAGCTATGTGTAAGTAATACAAGCAACTCAGGTAAATTCTGAACAGTAAATTCCTCTGAGAAAAACTCAACTTTTCTCTCTTCCCTGAGCTCAGTCCCTCCCTTTTGGCACATTCTGCTCATCACACAATATTGCATACATTCAGAGCAGTTAATACATTATCAAAAATACAATGGTGTCCATAGACATACGCCTGGAAAGATCAACTCTTAGGCACAATTCCAAAGATTAACTTTAATCATGTGGAAATTATGCTAAATGCACTCAAATGTACTGTTCAAACATTCTTATTTTCAAAGCAAAACATATCATCAAAATGTGGAACATAGTTGGCCATTCTGAATCAGTTAAGTATGTCAATGACTAGAAACTAATCTAAAATGTTAACCTAACCTATTCATCTCCATATTATCTAAAATCCCCAAACTCGTCATCACATTGTGAATACAAAACTAATCATAAGTCTCAGTTTCCCATGAGAGTGGGGGTGGGGGAAATTATAGCAGGGGTAATGCAAGAAAATAAGCCATGTAAAATTATCTGGAACTGTTTTAGTATTCATATTTCCTTGGGGATTTTCTTTGGGCACTAAAAAGATAACATTTCTATTAGGAGAGTAATAAAGCTCATTTCATTCTTTAAGTAAATATACCTAATAGGACAAAAGGATCCAGTTTATGTTTAAGTTCCAATTTGCTTAACTACTGTAGTAGGCCAGGGATTTTTAAGTGGCTGCAAACAACCAAACAAGTAGATAATAATGAGTTTCTTCTTCTGCATAATGAATATAACATGTCTCAACACACTGAAGATTAACTGAGATTATATCCTACAGCACTTGGCAAATGCAAGGTTTATACAAAGTAATGGTATTATGCTTGAATATTCATCATGTCTTCTTATGACTGTTTAGCATATTGGATTTCCATTTCTTGCCACCATGACCACAGATAAGAAAGTGAGAATAAGATCGAGTTTCTATAGGAATTCAAGTCCACCCAAGTCCAGCTAACAACCCTTGGAACAACAACTGTAAAATAATTTACATTCCATGTGATGAGTAACTAATAAAATTAGATTAAAAGAAAGCAATCTGGACTAAAATAAGAAAGGAAATTGAGAAATCCTGCAGCGTTTCACATCAGTTAGCAATAAAAGTCATAGGAAGAAAGGGCAACAAATACAAAATTAAACAACAACAAAAGTCAAGCAACAGTGATAAGGCTCAGCTTACAATCATTGTTTTTTTGAGTTGTTTGATGGTGTTTTTTTTATTATCTCCTAATGACTACATGCATCTTTTAATGAAGTCTGCATAACAAAGTTTATTGAGTCTATACTTTAAAAAGAAAAACTATCCATAAAAATACATGCTGGCAGGTCATTTGAAAATTCTACGTAATCCTGAAAGAAAACTAAAGGTGCCTAGACTTCCATTTCTAACCATCATGCATTGAGTGGTGTCCTCTAGGATAGAGCAGAGCGCAGGCCAGGCAAGGGAAAGGCACCGCCTAAGAGAGAAAGCTAGTGAGTTTTTCACTGCCGGATAGGAGAAAAGGTGAAAAATTAGTCAAGAAAGAAAATTTACGGTTCATCTCACACTGGAGGGAAGACAAATCAGTATCGTTCATAAATAAGAAGCCTAAGTGTACACATTGGGTGTTTAGATATTGAAAACACATGATTACGTGTGGAGAGTTACCAAGACTAATGCCCACCTTATGAGTGGGCATCCTTAAAATCATAAGTTGCTATGGTGTCTTCTTTAATAACATTTCTATTATAAGAAAAGACTTAAAAATATTTTTTCTGTTGTTGGATAAAAGGCTGTACTTTATTTTTAATTATGACAAACCTTCCAAAATACTGCTATCTGACAAATATTTGGGGATAAACATGATAAAAATAAAGGTTGATTTTCTCCCTGGCAAACATGTAGTGATTGCACAGCCTCTGCTATCAAAACCACCAATTCCTCCACCTTTCACAGTTTACCTTTCTTAGATTTGGCTCCAATCTTCAGCTTTGATGGCCAAGCAATCTGCGTGTTTGTTTCCTCCATGATCTGTAACAAAAATTAAGAGAAATACTGACACAATTAAGAACTTATATTTACAGATAAGATTTAAAAAAAAAAGATTATTTCAAGTCCTTAGGCTCATGTTGATAAAACAAAATTATCTCATTTTTAAACAATGTAAAAAAATCTTGGAAATAAAGAGATGCATTTTTATAAGCCTTTTATCTAATCAGAAATATTCAAGTATATTCTTTTATTCCCAGTGTTCCTCTCTGCGATGTCCCAGAATTTTAACAGCAACAACAAGACCAAAAAGTATATGAACAAGTAATTAACCCAACTTGACACCAGAACTGTCAGAGATGCTTTGCTGAATAAAATTCCCCAAGACAATCGCCAACAGATTGCAACACACCAAACATAACCCTTATACTACAAAACTATGTGGGTTAGGCTATACTAAGTGAAGTTTTGTTTTTTTTTTGAAAAAAGTAATAACTTGCTTTGAGCACATTTGTATTTCATTAAAACTGATGAAAAGCCTCTAAACATGACATCACAGCATGAGGCTACATCCCTCTCCATCATCCTTGGCCTGGTCCAAAATGGCATTTTTGTCACAGTTCTTTTCCACTTACACGCAGCCAACACTGGCCTGGAGGCCTGGAGACCCAAACGTGCTGAAGCGCAAACACAAGTGAGGGAAGCAAGGCTACAGCACAGAGGAAGGAGACAGTTCATAAAAATGAGCCACCAAAAAAAACGCGCATTCTTTGCTCTTCTCTACTTTTATCCCATGAAATAGACTAATGTTTACTTTTCTACCATGAACACAGAATTGATAGAGCAAGCAACCAGACAAATTAAATAGGCAAAAACAGGAACTACCATACATTAGTCACTTAAATTTGAAGAGGGTAATGATTACTTTTTAATATGGATATAGAGTCAACTAAACAAACTAATGGTGAAGACAACTACACATATTAACAGTGCAATTAGTAAAGTGCCTCTTCCCCCTCAGTATTGGTTAGGTGCCAGGCAGAAGGCTAAATGGTTAACAAGGTTAACATGTATCCTACTTCATTTAACCCCCCTTATCATACCATAAAAGGACTCTCAGCAGCTGTTTTAGACTGGCAACCCACAGATGCATTTTGTCTATCCATCCCAAGGTTGTTGTTTTGGTTTTTTTTAATGTGAGCCAAGATTTTTAAATCTGGGAATGTTCCATACAAATTCAGATTTCTGGTTCTCTGTAAACTTGGCAGACTTAGTACCCGCAGCCCACATCCCCACATGGCCACACTGGCCGGCCCGGAGAACAGATGCCCTCTCTCGTCAGGCCCAGAAGGCTCTCTGCTGCCTCCCAGTCCCACTGGGTTTCTCCTACTGAGGCCAGGGGCCTCTTGCCATTATCATTAACATGCTTGTATTACCTCACTTGCCATTTATCGTAGTGTTTGCACTGCTGTTTTTCTTAGAGAAATATTTCTCTACCCTTGTGTCTCTATTGCAAATTGAAAAACAAAGGGAGGGCACTAAGTCAAGGTGCTGCCCTGGTCCTGGAGGTGGATGCACTTGTTACCCAGCCCCACGGGACCCGGCCCCGCCTCTTCTCCTTGTATCTCATACTGTCCGTGTTGATGTGTTCAGCTGTCTCGGCCCTTAAATTGTTAACTCTAAATCCATACCTAAGAATAAAATAAATATTACCTTCCCCAATTTCCTCTGCTCCAGCCGCCCTGGCCTCCTCAAGAACATGCCCCACAGGCAACCCTTTCAGGGACTTTGCATTCACTCTCAGGTCCCCAGCTGCCACCTTCTCCATCACCTTCCCCCTCTAGTCTGGCACCACCCCAACCAGAATTATTCCTCCCACTTCACTGCATTTATTTCCCTCCTAACCCTCATCACAACCTGAAATTTTCCTATTTTCTAGGTTTGTTTATAGTCTGCCTCGGAAAAATAAAAGTAAGCTCTCTAGCCTGCACACAACAAGCACAGGTCACATTTCAGTACATGAATCCTCATTCCACCCCTATGGAGTAGATTTCTTTATTCCTCACACAGCTGGGAAGTGGCGGAGGAAGGGTAAAATCCCCAGACTGCTTTGCAAAGACCATACTTTTAACCACCATACTGTACTGAATACAGGTCCTCTATCTTTTTATAACATGTACATGCAAATTTGAAAATCTGCTTTAGGACTTAGGCATACTAACTGGTTATGGCATCCTACAAATATATATAAAAAGCCTCCTTAGGTGCCACAGGGCTGAGACCCATGGCAATGAGTAAGACACAATTCCTGGTGTCCACAAGCTTGCAGTCAAGTCAGGGACACAGAGAGACAAACACGCAGCTGCCTGACAACGGGCTGGGAGCTGGCCCAGGCCCAGCTCACTAGAACAGCTCATAGCCTCTACTTTGAAAGGTCAGGGTGCGGGGTGGGGTTAGTAAAAGGTTCCCCAAAATATAATCTGTAAAATCACTCAAGTCCTCAAAGTGAAGTAACAGTATATTTATAAATGAGTTCATTAGTCCCCAAACAAGGGCAGGAAGGCCCAATCAGGAGGGCCTCCTTATTGGTCATATTTTATCACCTATTAGTTCCAGATACTATATACATGCACAAATCTTCCAAGTAAATAAAATTAAACTCAAAATTTTCCTGTTAGCTAAGACACCTAAGGGGGGAGGGGGGAGATCTTAACACAAGACTGTTGTCAGGAAAGGAGTAAGAAAATAATCTATATACTTTGCTTTTTCTGCATTAAATAATTTGGTCATTTAATCCAGTAGTTTATGCCACGTGTCCCAATTTATGCCAGGGGTGCAGAAAAGGACTCTTGTCAACATATGTTTGGAACACACAACTTTCCAAAATCTTACCTGCAGAGCTTCCAAGAAATGACCCTGCACGTGACCTCTTTTTATTAAATACTATTAGATGCTCCATGACAGAAAAATAATATGCCAGAGAATATATCACAGTGTTAGGCACTAGCCATGAAGTCGAAATGCCTCCTTCACACACTCCAGGTAGCCTCACACCAGTCCAGTGCCTCTACTGTGTGTGAAGTGGTGGGGCTTGGAACGACGCACATTCAACCAACCCACATCAACAATGTCCGTGCGTGGAAGAGAGGCTCGCCCAAGCTTAGGATCCTTACTGCTAAACCCTGTTCTCCATCGCCTATACCACATGATCTCCAAAGTCCTATGAGCTACAGTAAACATCACACCTTTTAGAGAAAACTACTACTTATCGGAATCTGGCACCTGCAGCTGACTCCAGTAAACACCATTTGTGGCTGGCCAACACCAATCACACTGGTCATTCACTAAGCTCCTTGTCAGCCTCTACTGGGAGCCTCCTCAGACATCTCCTTACTTGTTCATCGTCGTGGTAATCTAGCCGTTACAGGCAGGTGGTGCTAGAGTCAAGTACCAGCTTGCTGCTTTCAAGCAATCACGTTGGGCAAATAACTGGTCAACTTCACTTTACTCCTCTGTACCAGTAACTGTAATAGCTATTCTCAGAATTGCTGTAAGGTTTCTGTAAAGCACATAGTGGCACACAGTAGGTACTCAATAATATTACCCCTTGTTGTACTGGGCTGGCCAAAAGAGTCATGTGGTTTTCTTCTATAACATAAAAAACATATTTTTAATTTTCATCAATAACTTTATTGATTTGGATATTATGTCCGCTATCTCCCAAGTGGTAGAATGCTGACTGTTCTCAATTAATGTCTCGATTTGATCGCTATCCACTTCAACTTGTCCATCCAAGCCCAGAACTTTGCAAACCACTTCAGACGTGTTCGATCAGTCACAACACCTTCTCCACACACTGCACAAATCTTTTGCAGTTCAGCTGCATTTTTACCTTTCTTGAAATAATAAAGCATGATATGCTGAAAATGTTGCATATTTTCTTCCACCTTCAATATTAAAATGGCTACACAAAAATTCACCAATTTTGATAAGTTTTTTAAAATGCACACTGATATGACAGCTGTCACAATACAATCTAACAAAATTGTTTCAAATGAAGTTAAAGACAACTGAGCACTACTAGAGCCATCTTATGGGGGGAAAAAACTTTTTGACTAGCCCAATAAATACATGTTGATTACTTTGGTCAGGCTCTGTTCTAGATACTAGGAATATAACAGCTCATGGTCTAACAAGGAAGAAGACAAGTTAACCATCCATTATGAACCACGTACCAAGTTTCATAATGGAGCAGGGCATGTGAGAGTATGTGGAAGGGATCCCAACCCAGTCACGTGTGGTCAAGAAAAGTTACCTCAAGGAAATGCCTAGTATTGCCAGGACCTAGCAGAGGAGAAAAAGTGGGCTAGATAGGGAAAAGGTGAAGAAAGTGTCCCAGGCAGAAAAGGAGACATGAAGAAAGATCTAGAAGGAGGCAAGGCAGGTACCAGATGGGGCAGGAGGGTGATTTAGAGTAGCTGAGGCGCTTCAATGCTCACCTTCCCCATCCAGGACGGGGAATGTGTCTCATCTTCTCCACCCTCCTGTCGGTGGGCACACAGACATGCGCAATACAGACTTGAAGACATGGCACAAACCAAAGCCGTCTGGTATCTATGCTTGGCTACATGTTGTGTGCTACAAATAAGCCAAGAACCAGCGAGTAATTACAAACATGAAGGGGACATACATACTTCACTTTCTGGAAGTCAAAATTCCCCCTAAAAAGTTATCAGTGAAGCTTTTTAAACCATCATCTACAATGACTCCAAGTCAGTTCCTGCAGAAGTAACACCTGCCTGAGTGTGGTTGGTAAGCTAGTAATACAGGTGTAATAATTTATTGTTTTAATTTGAACATTTTACCTAAAATGTCATATGGTGTGCTTGAGTGTAGTAGTGCTGTGTTACAGAAGCACATGCTTATGATATTGTAATAAAAGCTTTTATAATAAAAAGGGGTGTTATTCGTGCCAGACCCTGTATGTACTATTAGTATCAGCCCATTATGGGTGCGGTAGGGTGCAAGGCTGCACCAGGAAG